TTGATTTTATCGACATTTCAGTTCACTTCGTTTTTTCCCGTGAAAAATAAACTATCGTCTTGTGTAATTATTAAGATTTATTTAATTAGTTATTGATATGGCAAGTGAAAAAAATATTTTTGGTCAAACAAATGAATCAAACTTACATAAGGTCATACGCAGAGTTGAAGAAATATGGAATCGTCGTTTCATGCATTCCAATTGTGTTTTAAATAATACAAATAAAGGACAAATATCAAAAAAGTCAACTAAAGATGGAAGAATTATCTGTAAACACTATTAAGATTAATAATTAAACTAACTATTTCGAATAGAGAAAAAGTTTTTTAATATAAAATATAAGAAAAATTAATAATAAGTTCTCTTATTCATATATAACAATAATTCAGTCGCTTTACTTTAATTTAACTATTTTAATATTAAAAACCTTTTTCGAAATTGATTATTTAATTAATAATTATTAAAATTATATTCAATTTGCAGCAATTATTAATAAAAATATTTATCCTATAAAAAATTCCATTATTCCAAAAAAACGCACGTATCGAAAAACGAATAAAAATGATAAAATTATTCCAGAAAAATTGGTAACTATAATTATATTAATATATTTATTCGATTTAGCTATGTTATTGGGGTTTGTCTGATTCAAAAATATAAAATAAACTATCAACCCCCTTAATATAAATGCGGTAACATAATGTTTAATATTATTCTGCTATTTTTTCTATTAGATTTTTATGGGAAATTCAATTTTTATCGAAGATAATAATATAATATTAAGTATAGTTTATTTGTTTATTTAAATATCTCTTTGGTTACCTAGAATATGATGCAGCAAAGAGAATTCGGAACACTTTTTCAGAATGAAAAATCTGAAAAATATAAAAATGAAATTTTAAATTCAACAGAAAAAAAAAATATAGCAATTTCAAAAGACAATCCGCTATTAATATCAGCTGATTTGTTAGAAAAGGTATATTTTATTATGCTTTATTTCAATAAAAAGATTTTAGGGTATACCCTAAACCATTTTTTGGACTTAAAGCAGATTTCTTAAATAAATTTATCATATAATTAAATATATTTTTATGATCCGTTAAGAGTTTTCATAAGAAAAATTTGGAACGCAAAAAATCCGAAATAAAAAAACAACTTTTTGAGATATCTTCTAATACTACTGCTCGACCAAATTTAAAAAGAAATTCATCCGAAGAAGATGAAAAAGTCATAAAAAGTATACAACTTTTAAAATATAATTCATTTTTAAAAAATATGAAGTTTTGATTTTTGAAACAAATATGTAATATTTTTAAACATAAATTATTTTAGAGCCAAAAGTTAGTTCTAATCCTTTGACCTTAAATACGCCGAATGACGTAAATTTACTTGCTCTGTCCACTATTGAAGTAATAAAAGTACCAGAGAAAGAAAAAGGTAATTAGTTATTTAATCTATTTATTTTATGTAAAATTAAATAAAAAAAGATTATTTATTAAACATAATTAATTATAATAATACGAGTTAAATTAATATAACTTCTGCAGAGGCGTGTCATTAAGGGGGTCCATGGACGTTTTAAACAAAAGTAATTATACGTGTTTAATTTCATATTCCAAAACCTTAAATAAACCTAAATAATAGTAAACTGTTCAACAAAGTCTTTTATTAATTTTATGAAAAATGTTTAAATATGGTTACACTTGCAGAAGTAATGCAAGATCAGAACACAAAATCTCTTGATCAGTATAATGCACCTTCATTTAAATCGCCCACATCATGGTATACTTCAGACACAATTAATGAGTACATTAAAATGATAGTAAAACGGTCAGAAGGTGAAGTTTATGCAGTTGTCACTGATTTTATTGTAGCGTATCTTCGAGGAGGTTATCCAGCTGTAAGAAGATGGATAAAAAAAGATATTCACACAATAAAATTACTTTTTGTGCCCATGAATGTATATGAGAGTCATTGGATATTGACAGTGGTTAATATACCTGAAAAGACTGTGACATCATATGATAGTCTTAAGTCGTATAAGGGTCCTTATCCAATGGTATTAAAAAATTTCTTAATTGAATGGGAGATGGACAAAAAAGGAAAAGCTTCTACATGGACATTACAAATAGGCGAGACATCTCGCCAAACCAATGGACATGATTGTGGGCCATTTACTGTTGAGCTGGCAGAAAAAATGTCTCGAGGAGATACAACACCAATAAATGCAAATTTTATGCCTTTTATAAGATTAAGACACAAAAATGAAATTATTGCTGGCGAGCTATTCAATTAATATTTTTATGAATGAAATTTTATTTTTGTATTTTATATCAATTTTCTTAATATTCACTATAAATTGAAATTTTTATTTGTATACCACCAAACATTTTTTTACTTTTTCTTTGTAACATTTTATTTAAGAAATTCAAATTTAATATAAATTTATCTTAACTGAAATAATTTAATGTTCTTGTTATGTGAATATACAAATATTATAATATACAGTTATGGATACAATTAAGTTATATTATCTACTATCTTAACAACTTAATTTTAATTTTACTAAATGACGATTCATAAAGAATTTCATAACTTTTGTTTATTTTTTAAATACTATTTTAATTATAAAAAATTCTTTTCTGTATTTTTTACGAATGCGGTATATTGAATAGGGGTAACTAAACTTATTTGTTTATAATTCTCTAAACTGATAAACTATAAAATAAATTTAAAAATGAACTACAAGTTCAGAATATTTCCGTTGTTATTATATTTTTGCTACGGGTATTTTTGTTATCTAATTGACCCAATGAAATCCAAATAATTTCTAAAAATCTCTGATAAAATGTAGATAAATACGTGTCGTCGAATCCTATCAAATTATCTTCAATTTTGTTATTTATTTAAAATACCATTTATTTTATAGTAAATAAATATAGTATATTATAAAAAAAGTTAATACTAATATATTAGGCATTTTTTTTAAGTCGGGGGGTGTCCAAACATAGAGGACACCCCCCCAAAATACGCCACTGGTAGTCTCTTCTCGTGAGAAAAAATTTCTTATTCATGTTAATATTATTTTACTATGTAGTTTTATTTGTGGCTGCAATTTATTTTCCCAACCCTCAATTAACCTACTTTTTTCAGCGATATGTCAAATGATTACAACACGTATTTAGTTGAAGATATTACCCTGAAAAATTGAAAAAATCCCTTAATCAAATAAAAAGTAGCTTAACCATCTTTATCCATACAAACTATAAAAATCATTCATTTCTAATAATTTTAAAGTATTTATGGTCGAATTAGATTTGATATGATAAAGTATTCAACTATAAAAGTAGATAATTTTACTTTGTAATTAATTAATTTTTTTCTCAATTTATGTGTGCAACTACTAATCTATAATATTTCAAAAAAATAGAGCTTTTCTGATAAAATTACTATAAATAGTAATTATAAAATTTACTGACTGCATATTAATCTTAACTATTTCATTTTTTTTTCTATTTAATGATGTCAATTTCAAACTTGTAAATTGAGCTAAAAGTTATGGTAATAAATTCNTCAGATATCATCTATACTTGTCCCATCTATGCCTCGTCCACACTGTGCCTCGACCCCACTGTGCTACCGTTTTTTTTTATTATAAACTTTCACTTTAAAGGACGAAAAAAAGTAGGTTAAAAATTATTACTTTTAACATGTTAAAAATAAAAATCAATAATTTGAAAAGAATTAATTATAAAAATTATTTTTATATATTTTTTGAATCTAAGAATTACTAATTTGGATATAATTAAGGAAATAGAAGATGATGTTGCTTTTGTAATTATCCTCTAATTTCATAGAATTAAATATATCTACAGATTTGCATCGAAGCGTTTCTTTTGATAGTTATTTTAATCACTGTTAGATTAAATCTATACTGGACCCAACTACGCCACGTCCCCACTGTGCTGGGTGTTTTTTATAAATTATTGACGACTTTATATAATTATAAAATTATATTCAATTTCGCAACACAATTATAATTTTTAAAAATTACTCAACTATTATTATTATTTTTTTTGTTTCAGATTTTAAAATATTTACTATTCTTGCTACTCCAATTGTTCGATTAAATTTATTTTCAAGATTAAGGAATACATTTTTTTCACTTCATAACACATTATTTTTTAGTAAATTCTCTGTTATATCAATGTTAGAAGGAAATTTTTATCTCGATCATAAATTTTGTAGAATTCAAAGAATATATTTTATGAATTTGAACTTTTGACAGTATACTGTTCCCAAAATCCCCTAATGTAAAATTTTAAAAGTGAATTCATTTAATACATGAACCTTTCATAATTTTAATTGCAAAAGTAAAAATAAAATATTTATATTACACTGTTTCTTAATAAAATTTAAATTACGAGGAAAAGGAAATATTATTAACAATTTAATTAAATAAATAAAAAAATTCAATTTATTTATTTAATAAGTATACTGATCACACTATTGATGACTAAAGTAATACACATAAGTTAGATAATAGACCAATATATGGGAAATTTAAAATAATTTTATTCTGTTTAAAAACATGAGAATGAATTTTAAAACAAAAATTAATTAACTTAATAAGTTTACACTCAGAAAAAAAATATTGGAAATTATTCTAAAAAAGGTATTTAATATTATTAATAATAATAAAATGTGACAAAAATTAATAATCAAGTTAATGTCACTAATAAAAATTATATTAAAACTGAGAGCATATATTTTAATATCACAATTAAATGACCACATTTAATAATGTATATTTTATAATATACTTAATTCTAATAAGTAAACAATAATATTGAAAGATCTTTGTTAAAAATAGAAACATTTACTTTTTAATAAACAATCATAACAAATAATTTTAAATTAAAAAGAGGAATTAAATTATTATCAAAAATATATAGGTTAGGAAACATTATAAATGTTCGAAAAATAAATTATTACACAAATCAACAAATATAATTTCGTTTTATTATCATAATAATGAGTTTCGATTTGGCAGTTAAAATAGAGCTGGTTCTTCTTCAAAATCCTTATCACTTTGTTCAATTCTTCCAATTGTCATTCGTTGGTATGCTTTGCTTTCTTCACCCGTTTGTTTAAAACTTATCAATGGTCGCAGAGCAGATTTTAGTGAAGCAAACAATTTTGGAAATAATATTTCTTGTTGAGCAAGAAGTTGTTTGGTACGATGGCGTTCCTAAAAATTAATAATAAAACATTACCATTTTTAAATTATTGTTTTTTTATATATATATATATATATATATATAAATTCCATTTAAAAATGAAAATTTAATTACCTTTGGTGCTTCAAAGCATGCCGGGCAATTTTCATCAATGATTGGGAGTTTTCTATTTTCAGCAAATTCTCGTAATAATTTTTCTCTAACATAAACAAATGGTCTAATAACTCGTAAATCTCTTTCCTTAACTGAATAATGGGCTTTCATTGATCTTAAACGACCATTATGAAAAGTAGACATTAAAAAACTTTCAGCTAAATCATCTAAATGCTGTCCAAGAGCCAAGACATTATATCGATTAGCTCGTGCAGTGGCATAGAGGCGACCACGTTTCATACGGCTGCAAAAACTACAGATAGAACTACATTCAGCAGAAGTAGCTTGTTCAAGAATATCTAAAATCAATTTTTTTTTTTAATTTTTAAATTTAGAATTAATGAAAAATTTGATAACTTACTTTGTTCTTCATACAAATATTGTATTCCTAAAGCTTTCAAGTATGGTATAAGAGGTCTAGGATTGTAAGCTGAACTGCCAGGATCTACTGTTGCAGCGCCTAAGGTGAAATTTATTCCTTTTGATGAAGCGTAGTATTGATATTGATGAAGAGTATGTAGTAAAGATAAAGAATCTTTTCCACCTGATAGACAGACCATTATACTATCTCCATCACGTATCATATCAAACTCTCGAATTGCCTTTATAATTTTAATAAAGATTAGAGACTAAAAAATGTGTAATACACTAATCTAAACTACAATATTATTTTTTAAATAATTTCTTATATTTGAATAATCATCAATCTAAATATTCTAAATAATCTAAATAATAATATCATCTTTAAAATATTTCTTTATTAAAAATAATTATAATAACTTCAACAATTAAAAACAATATAAGTTAAACTAAAAAAAAAATCTAAGAATAAAAATTAATGAACTAAAGGGATCTATTGATTCCTCTATATTAGAAGACTAAATTAAAGGAGATTTAAAAAATTATGAAAACTATAAAAAGAAACCTTAAATAACAAAATGAAGTAAGATGGTTTGAACATAAAATGTTATTATGTTATCAATAGTTATAATAAATAATATGTGTATTTTTCTATTTGAATTTCCATCCGTAATGTATATAGAGTATTCAGTAAATAAAAAAAAGGGTTTCTATAGTTCTAATTATTTATAACAATTGTCCTGTTTTCTTACTTACTGAACATTTCTGAAATCCTTAATAGCTTTTGATACAGCGAATAATTTGTGTTACTTTTTTTTTAATAATTTTTACAGATTTGGACTACATTAAAAGCATATTTTCTATTATTGTCTCTAATAATAAAAAATTATTTTTAAGTTTTAAATTTTTCAAAATTATAAAAGAGTCAGTTAGTTAGTTGCTCATTTTTTACAAAGTATTTTGTTTGGTCGATAACAATTTTAGATAGAGTAATTAAGTTACAAGCATTTTAATACATAGAGTGGGTATGTAACATGAGTGGAGTATGCATTATAAATATAGTTTTATAATAATAATAATTATAATAAAATAATTATAAATATAGTTTTATAATAGTATTATAAACATACAAGCTGTACCCACTAATACTACATACTCAGTCTATGTATTAAAATGCTTGTAACTTAATAGGTACAATTCAATATCATAAAGTTGTTATTGACTTATTAAATTTTTAGTAAAAAGTCTATTTTTAAATTAAAAAAAAAATAATTTATTCCTTATTGAAGACAAATAATAAAAAATATCCTTTTAACATAGTCCAAAACTGTAAATATTATATAAAAAAAAAAAGTAACTCAAAATACTTACTGGATCAAAAGTTATTAAAAATGTTAGAACATAATAGGATACCATATATAAACAAATAAAATGACAACAAAATTGACAGAATTAATAAATCAGTTGAATATAACTTTAATCATGTTTTTATAAATGCAACTTACTTCAATAGTAGGCTTCCAAATAGGTTTAGGAGGGCAATGCCATCTTGCAACTGAAAAATCAACACTCTTCTGGCAATTCATTTTAACTATACATTCAGTTTTATATTTTTTCAAATTTCGATTAGGTAAATCAGTCTTAACATTAATGCCACTATCTGTCGAACTGAGATTGGGATGTTTTAGATTGTTTTCTTTGTCACTCTCTGAATCTGATTCTTTTTCCATTATCGTATCAGTGTTGTCATCAGATAATGATGATGATGATGCCAATACAGAGCTTACCATATCATGAATCTCAGTTTTCATTTCTGATGCAAACTCAGACAATCGACAAATAACCTTTTCCTCAATACCATTTTGACAAGGAGTAGTGGTAATGACTGGTACAGAATTATTTCTAGCCATATTCTTAATCACTTTTGGTATACTAGAACGTTTTTCTATAACATTTAGACTTTCTGAACTCTCAGACAATGCATTATCAACTGTAGCTATGACTCCTCTGAGTTCAGATTTTATTTCTGTAACAAATTCTTTAGTCATTTCATGGACATAAGCTTGAATATCACCATCTGGTAAATTAGTGTCATTGGAAACACGTGAATCTGAATCACTTAACTCTGTTTGACTACTACATGAACACTGCCTTTCTCGCAATCTTTTAAATTTTGGAGTTGGGTTAGATCCTAAACTATAACATCGATTTCTTTGTGATACAATTTCAACTGGACTTAGATGTTGTTTAGGATTCAACATATCTGAACTGCTACTAGAAGTTCTTAAACGTGCAGACAAACTATATATAAAAAAATGTATTTTTAACAAAATTTTAACTCAAGATTATTAAAAATTATATTTATTAAAATAAATATTAAATAAACAGATTTAAATACCTATTGTCTAAACCACTAGAAAGGCTATTATATCTAGCTAGAGATGAATTTGGTGAAGATGAAGGAGAAGATTCTGAAGTTCGTGGAGAACCACAAAACATTGTTGGAGTGAAAGGAACACTCTGTTTAACATGTCTTGAAGAATGACCTAACAATAAATCTTGAGCTTCACTTGGTAACATAAACCAACGTAGCTTTTCAGTTTCTTCAGTGAACATACTTCTCTGGTCTGGTAATGGAAATCTCTGGGCCATCTATAAATATTATTTGAAAGATTAATATTTTAAAATTTATGAAATAAATAATTCTAAAATACTTTTCTAGCTTTATTAAAAGTATTTCTGGCAGTCTTTAAACATTCAGAAAAATCAGCAGGGCAAGTATTTTGGACAGATGTTTTACGTTCCGGAAAAACCATTTTACCATCTGTATATCTGATAGAACCTAACCACTTTCTATCACGAAAAACGTTATTAGTATGATGTTTCCATTCTCCAGTTTCAGGATTTAGCGTATACTGGGGCAACAATTTCCAACCTTCAGTAGCTACCATTTTTAAGGCTTCAAGCACAAAAGATACTTCATTATCAGACATGAAGTATGGCAGTGAAATACGAGAAAACCCTGGACGAAGCATTTCGAAAGAAGAATGTTCTTCATGTCTCCTTAAATGATGTCTATCAAGACGGTTATCTTCGATCAATATGTTTTCATAATCAATTGCCAATGAATCATCAATACCAAGTAAATCTTGAGCATATGGACCAGCACAAGCACATCCTCCACGAGCTTGCACACCAAAAACATCATTGAGAATAGCACAAATAAAATTATGATGAAGATATGCTCCACGAGGATGACGCACTAATAAAGAAAATATTGGTAACCTTTTAACCGACTGGGAACTATTTCCTAACAATGTTATTTCTGGCATTGTTTGAAGAAATGATAGCACCATTCTGCAAAGATAATAACAATATAATATAAACATTAAAATATAAAATAATAAAGGCAATAATTTTATAAAATATACATATTATTGAAGAGGCAAGGAGAATAAATCTTTTTACAAAAAAAAAAATGTTTATGGTCACATAAAACTTTCTCTCATTTGAAACAATTTTTTATATACATATCTCCCAAAACAAAATCTTAAACAAATAACATAAAATTTTAGTTTTAACAGTGACACACTTCTACTAAAGCAGTAATATGATATTTTAATGTAGGGTGACATGTAATATGTCACAGTAATATGCAAAAAATCATATTATGCCATTACAACTATAGCAGTAATATTTTCAATGATACAAAATGATACCAGAAAATTCAATTGCCACATTATTTATTTATTGAAAAATTTAAATGGGCTAGGCCCAATATATACAAGGAAGACGACAATCAGTTTGTAGAGTAAAGTTTACATGTGCTGTCTGACTTAAATTACAATAATTACAATACAATAAAGTAAAATATAAATTGGTAGAAAAGAATAAAATTACAATTATGTTGAAATGATTATACCATATTCTTAATTTTATAAAAATATTTAAATCACTTAAATTAATTTTTTCAGACTAAAATTTAAACGTCATGCAACTTTATTGTAATAAATTTTATCTTATTCAAAGAAATTTCAAGTTACTACTTTAATCTATAGAAAGTTTTAAAATTTATAATTAAAACCATGTTGAGCTTTAAAGTGTTTAGTTAAATATATAAACATTTACAGAATTTTTTTCTTAGTTTCTGTTTACTGTTATGAGTTTTTACGCATTAAATAAATTTAAAATTATTTTAGTCCCAATTAATTTTTTTTTGAAAAAAATTTAACTCTCAATAACGGCATATTAAAAATTGATGCTCTTTAGTTTATTAATTTTTTTTTGCGAACAAATTTTACCTCTTAATACTGATTTTAGTAAACTAGAAATTTCACTGTGATACAAATAGTATAATTAATATTAATGTAAATCTCACTTCCTTTATATAACATTCAATATTGTTTAAATTAATATTTTAAGTTAAGAATTAATTATTTAAATAGATTTTTNATAACATTCAATATTGTTTAAATTAATATTTTAAGTTAAGAATTAATTATTTAAATAGATTTTTGAAATTATTAAATAAACAACTAAAGCACAAATTGGTTTGAAATAATTCACTAAATATATTGTCCAAAAGTAGAATCTATCAAACAATTTACTAATACAATTAATAGTAATAAACATGTCTGTGCATAGAAAAAATCATTTTAATATAGCTTAATGTAATCTATTTATAACATAGAATAAAAAACTATTGCTATGCAAATGAAAACATAAAAATATATACTGTCTAAAATAATTTAAAAGAACTTTTGATTTATAAAACTGAGCCTTGATGCGGTATTATATACCAAAAAAACGTTATTATATGTTATTAACATAGAAAATAATAACGAACTATTTAAAAAATAAATTGATATAAAACAATCAAAATATTGACACTAAAAAAGTCAATTTTTATTAAATCAACAAATTTGATCAAAAAAAAATACTTCATTTTCGTAAAATAAATAAGTAGCCCAGATCATTGTTTAATAGATTTTGTGTGTCAGTTGTGAGAAAAAGATTGATGACATTGATTCACAACATGTTGGATATTCAATTAAAAACTCAAAAAACGTAAACTTAAATATACTCTTCCCTTTACTACAGTGAACTCCTAACGAGATGTTCAAGGTTTTTCATCAAGTCTTCTAATACAGTAGAAATATAATTTTTGCACATGTTCGTAATATATAGTTCACACATGAACGTTTCGAGAAATAATCAAAATCTTCCAAACCTTTCAAGGCCATAAAATAATCTATGCACATAAAACTTTTAAAATATGCCTTATTTTCAAATAAAACTGATGAATGAGATTGAACTTTTGATCTCAAATGAAGGCTAAAAAAGGTCATTCTAAATTTACCGGTAGACAACCTTAACTGTAATTCTACACCAGCGCTACCCTTTATCTCAAGGACAATTAGCCAATAAATAAAACTCAAATAACACACTTACTTGGTAATTTTTTCTTCTCTAGCCATAATGAATGGTACACCAATATTCTGCTTTAGTTGCATCGCTAAACCCATTCGCACAGATTCGACAATGGCTCCTGTGCCGCCTTCTTCTCGCATTTCTGTATCCTAAAATAAAATAAATAAATAAAAGGATTTATATATATATATATATATATAGTATTCAATAAAAATTCAATATCTTGTTATTAACTAACTTTCAAGTATCGATGATCTTTTCGGGAAACAAAAAATACTGTTCCACCACCGCCACCACCAACAGGTATTTTATTCTTAAACAATTTTTTCTTCGCCACCAAAATACCTGTTCGAAAACACATTTTTTAAGGTAAAAATATTTTCTTATGGTTAATAATCTTTTAATATAACCTGGTGTTTGTATGCCTCCCACGAACTTATGACCCGAAAAAAATATAGCATCCTTGTATACGGCCTGATCGTTAGCCGGGAACAGAGGGTTCATATCCATAAGCACATATGGGGCTACAAAGTCAAATGCAACTATTAACTTACAAAAAACCAATTGATCATGAGTTTTTTACAACGCATTACCCGCAGTGGCGTAATCCCAGAAAGCTAGAGCTCCGTATTGATGTAGAATCAATGTAGTGGCGATATCATCAGCAAGTATACCGGTAATATTAGAAGCAGCAGAAAAACATCCGATCAGCTGGGCAGTTGGACTAACCGACTGATACAACTGGAGTTTACTTTCAAGATCGACCAAGTCAATAAATCCTTCCTTGGTTTCAGCGATACGGACTACCTAACACAGAACATGAGGAATGAGTCCGTTACTGTTCTGTTGAACTATTTATGTCAAACAGCAATGACACTTCTTAAGAACTTGTTCTTATAAATAATGTCAGGTTATAAATAGAACACTGCCGCGTATTTATCAAATAATTTCTAATAGCGTTGAGGATGGTCCCATTAAACACTGTCATCCACATAATTAATACTGTAATAATAGCCTAAGCAATAATTTTGGCTCCTGGTCAGACGTTAAAAAATGCACGATAAAGAAAAAAAATCTCAATTTATAAAAAAATATGATTATTTTACGATAAATAATAAGAGATATTTTTTTGAACAGACGTCAAAGTCAACCGCGATTCCGGCGTCACGTGTATCAGGCATGCTGGACCAACGACCACATGTTGTTTGTCTTCGCCAATCGTCCCACTCAATTGCTAATATTGTATTATTGAATAAAGGTCATGTTTTATAACACCGACGAAGACGTCACGTACGTTTTTTATAGTAGGACCGCTGTTATAGAGTTTACAGATATCTATGTGTAAATACAATATGTTTAAAAATAATAAACGCGGTGTTAAAATATATCTGGAGGAGTGTCACAGACGTTTTCACGGCCACGCAGGATTTCGACAAGGAAAAGAGGGGAGTGTTAGGTGTGAGATGTTGTCCTTGGACATGGATCTTCTTTAGATACGAGGGGAGACGCGAAATTACAAAATTATATTACTATTCGAACCCGAACAATAGAAAGGGAGAAGACTAAAGATGATATAAAATAATTAATAAATTATGCATAATAAAATTACGCGTGCTTATTATTGAAAATAAAAAAAAAAAACATCGCAAATAGTTCTTAATGAGTCTAAATGTGCATTGGTAAAAAAGCTGTTTTACTTACTGTAGCGCCTATTTCCCTCCACGGAAGCAAATTAGAATGGTGTTCATAAGGACCTACTAAAACTACCGGCGCTACTGGATCAGAAGCAAAGTCCAAAGCATGAATCAGTTTATGTATAGCACCAGTACAACCACTGCCCACAAAAATGACTACGTCGTCTTCGGAAGCATGAACAGCATTCCTAATGATGTCTCGGGATTCATGTCTGAATACAAAAGGACGGTATTAGCAAAGAAAACAATTTTAAGATAATAATTAAGCCGTTGTATTTAGGAGAGATCATAAACACTACACTACGCATTCAATCTTTAAGGTCATGGAGGTAATCAAAAGCGTCGGGAAAGGATTAGAGCTTATTTGTTATCACACAAAATGTTAGTACATTATTAACACTGTCGCAATTTTACAAATATGACGAGGGATAGATTTAAGGGATAATGTTGCGAAACGCGTTGATAAATAAGACCGGAATATAAGAAGCCTTGAGCGCTTATAATATGATAAACAATAAAGTTAATTACTAACAGGAAATAAATGCTATCGTTGTCGTAGAGTGAAATTTAACCAAGTTACAAAATGGGGTTAGCTTACATATGGTGTTTACCTATAAAGTGTAGATTGAAGCGAAGTAACGTTAGTTGTCGTGTGTGTGTTGCCATAAACGGGCAACACTTCTCTCAATATGTAGTCTTCAATAAATTGAAGTGATTTTCCGGAAGCCGCGTAGTCGCAGTATACAACTGAAAAATAAATATACACAAATTCTCAATTGAAAATATAATAAATACATTATTTGCACAATAAAAAGAAACCTAATATATCAAAAACTACTCAATTATTATTTATAAATGATATTTGAAATATTTCTTTTTGCACATTTTTTATTGAATAACTTTCCAATCGTTCAATTTATTTGTCTGTAATAATAAGTATGACTTCCGATAAATTGTTATGGAAAGCACGTCGTTTGACCGGATCAAATAACAATGTAGAAATATTAAACCGAAAGAATACTAAGTAAATTACATTCAATTAATAAAAATAAAATAACTAATTTAGAACGCTGGAAAAGAGAAGCCTCATAACAACCGAGACACATACAAAAGCTCATCCAAACCCATTGATAATGCACTGACAATTGAACAATTATAGAATTGACCTGATTTTCGTCTTCGTAACCCTTTTCGTGCTACGTGGATTACAAAACTATCAATATACGTCTAAACTTAATGTAAAATTAGCTACTGTACTAGCAAATATTCGGTAACCAAATTCATTACGTTCAAATTGAAACATGTTTTTTTAGCTTAGAAAACAGAATTTTAATGATGTCATGATTGCGAGGAACGTTAATAAAATAAACTACATGTTTAATAAAAAGCTATGATGATAATACCCACTCATGGGCGCCATCTAAATCGGTAAAACGTGGATCTCTGTAATTTTTTGTCAAACTTGACATGAAATAGTGCTATGGTTTGTTTATTTGTGTTCACACACGACAATAACAACATAAGTAAGGTCGTTAAGCCTGTGCACGGATAGTTATATACTTCTGAGTGAGATATTACTATTTAAAGAAATTAAAACAGTGACAAATTTTTTAACAAACGAATAATTTTTTTATGCGTGAGCATATTTAAATTTAACTTTATACGTGGAAGTAATTACCCGTAGTAATCATAATTATTTATACTTAACGCGTCATATTAGGTAAAAATGCGAACGAGTCAATGGTATAAAATTACACTGCGTATTTATTATGCAAAACGCTATCAAATACAATTACAAAGTCATGCCTACATTGATAAGATTAATAGTTGGCAACAATGAGAGCACATAAAAAACGTACCCTTCACCTTAACCCTATATCATAAAAAGCCTTTAAAGAAAAGTTCACTGTGTAAATTATTATCGTCGTAAACAATTCTCGGTCGAGCTACAATGTCGTAAACACTATTTTTACTTGTTGAAGACCACAATTACAATTATTATACAATATATTTTTTTTAAGTTATTATATACTTAGAGAAAATAAACTGAAATGTTTTGATCGTTTTAAACAGTAAATACATAACAAATAAAATAACAATAAATTTTGTTAAATCATAAAAAACCACTATGAGAGAATTATACGAAATTAGTATAGCTCTTACGCTAGTTATAGTTAAAAATACGGACAATTGAGTTAACGAAGTCCACCACATTAATACAAATTTTGAAGATTTTAAAAATTATTTTCATAGATCACTTTACACGCATACACAAAGCGTGCAAAACTTGAGTAAATAGTAATTACAAAAGGGATCAATTTAAAAAGCTATTACTAAAGTGTTAAATCCAACATGCATTAGGTGCACTAGATTTTAAAACTGTATTTCAAATAATATCGATAGAATTACAAACGACACGAAACAACTTACAAAATAATTAACATCAATTAATCTTTTGATATAGTCAACTTACATTATTATAGGAGCAACAACATAATTGTTAGGCTCTGTAAGGAGAATACAATTTACCAGAATTCATTAAATTGAAATTAAACGGGTCAACGATAAATAACTAATTATTAAATAAAAATAGTAATGAAATTTTCATACAATGTTACGACCACAAACGTACACATAATTAAATGATTCAATTTTATTTATTAGATATGTGATACAGCAAAACGTTAGACTGTGTAAACTAATCGGCGGCAAACGCCTGTTTGTCGATTATGAATTAATTGGAGGATGAATTGAGATCAATAAAAATAGTTATTTAATGGTAATCAATCATCATAGAGCATAATATGTTCCAATCAACCAGCACAACAAATATGTCGATTGTTTTTTCTAGGGTCACTTCAAAACTACAGCATAAAAGAAAAATAACGAATCCCACAAATATCATATCCACAATTTTTTACGCAATACACGATTATATGGACACTCCAGCCAGGCATTTGCACGTCTATTTATACGTTTGTAAATAGAACGGGGGCGGCACAACTGGGAAATCGCCTTCTCCTCCTAATCCACTGCGACAGACTGTAGTAACTGCGCAATTTCTCCATCGCAGCACGCAGTTTCGAGAAGCGTCCTGGCGTAGCTCTGATGTCCTGCAGTTGTCTGATCGACTCCAGTCAAGGTTAAACTAGTAACGACGCTAACCTACCGCGCTCCCTTTACCATAACAACCAAACACGTGCCAAAAAGAGTTAGTAAGTGTGTTATGTCACATAACGCATTCCAGGGGACCCCAAAAGGAATGCGCGTCATCTCGCAACCAAGGCCTAAATAATCGATAAACGCCTTTATTGCCGAAAAAGAGATTCAGAATAGCATATTTGAAAACAAAAATAACCTAGTTTTCATTTACAGATACAAGTGTAACCCAAACAATTACTCTATAGTTATGTTAAATATTTTAAGTTCACCCTATTATTCCACCTAGCAGGAAACTTGATTATATTTTTTTTTAATTTGCAGAAAAAACAGTAGTGACAAAAAATAAACAAATAAATAGAAATAGCATTTTCTATTAAAAAAAATAACGTATTTCTCGATTCGTTTTTATTTATTATAATAAAATATGCTCAATTTTCTTTAAATGAGTTAAAAAACGTATACATAAATGAATAATTTATGTAGTATACGAATGTACTTAAGAATTACTAAACATTTCTTAAAATAAAAACCATTATTATTACATTATATCTGTATTTATTTTGTATCGCTCAAGTCTGNGTTAAATATTTTAAGTTCACCCTATTATTCCACCTAGCAGGAAACTTGATTATATTTTTAACTAAGTTCAGACACCACACGAACAAAAAACATCGTCTTTGTTATGGTTATTTATAATAAAATAATATGCTAGTAACTACTGATTTGAATACGTCAAAGATAACACGTTTCAAAACACACAGATACTGACACAATGTATGAATTATACTACAGCTTAAAATATGAGCTGTGCTTAAGAACTGTTGTTTATAATAGATATTAGATTTCCAACAAGCCTATTCAAAATATGGAACTAATTTAAATGAAAGAAAAGGGTTTTCGAATCGAGATAAATAAAACGAAATATTGTCATTCGAATGGAAATTTTAATTTATAACACAAACAAGTATCAACAAGGACATTTAATTTAAAAATCTACTGTTTTCATCGTCCTATAACTTACAATTTTAATCAACACCTGTCATATTGGTACTAATTCATATTTACATTATCAAGCGATTTAAAATGACGTTTTCATTATTATTTCCAACAAAATTTTAATTTTACAATTTTAAATATAAATTATACAATTATCAACATTTCTAGGTTAAACCTATCAACAAAGGTTTTAAAAATATATACGCTACATTACTATTATTACAATAACACTTCATTGATTATTTCTTCAAGAGTAAAACTACCGCTCACAGTAACACATTCGTAAAATAGTGTAATTAAACATAATTTGCAAACCGTTGTCTAATTAAGCGTAGCTACTGTCACAAGTTATTACATGAAAATAAGTCAAACAAAATTAATAGATAGTTTTATTTACAAAGAAAAGTTTTCAAGTCTATTTTTAAAGGTCAAATACATAAACGAAGAAAATTCATTAAAATTTAAACACTACTACCACATCTAACTTATGTATATAATAGATATATACGTTAAATTATGGTTTTTTCAATTAAGGCAGAGGCGCCTCTGCATTTGAATCGTTATTACTTTGGTAGTAAAAACGATTTTTTTTTTTTATAAATCAAATAATAAAAACTCATGAACTTTTTTCACGGTTATTAAATGAATCATTGTATACACTATTCAGGTATTAGTCATTTATTGATAGTAAATAGGTCGTTGATAATAAGCTTTTTTTGTATGTTTTTAACTAAAATTTTCAACAAAATCAACAATGTTAAAATGGTTTAACAGATTATAAACTGAAAAATAATCTGGACTGAATTAAAATTAAAAAAAAATAATATAATTGATTTATAAGTTATTATTTGATTTAATTATGACAATAGAAGCATTAAATATTACTTTTTATAAAAAAGTTTTAACATATAATCATAACAAATTGAGATTTTAGTTTTCAAAAAGAAATAGTTACAAGATTTTTATTTACATAGAGTTATAGAAGCAATTTAAATAAAACTACTTTAGCGAATACAGTAAATTAATTATGCACGCAAACAATGAAATAAACAACATAAAATTCACAAAATTAGTCATATTTTGATGTTTGATACTCGTTTATTAATTATGAAACTTCCGTTTTCATAAGAGATATGCTAATAAACAAACTATGTGTGATATTATTTAACTTTTTTTAATAAAAGCAATTATATATTAACACGTATTTTTTTACACAAAATTTAAAATGTCATTAAGTTAATGTTTTGCTAATGATAGCTTGTTACGTCAAAATGAAACAATTAAGAGAGGCTAAACGAAATTTAATTATGCAACATATATCACAACATTACCTACTATTATTATATTTTAAATTGCATTTATTGCTAATTGTATTAATGTCTATAATATTACAATAAATCTTAATATTTATTAGCAAACCTATTATTTTTATAAAATAAACATAATTATACTCATTTATTAAAAAAACTTTTTATATATAATATAACACTTAGTAAATGTATACATTTATCTAAATTTAATCGAATGGTCTAGAAACACGTGGTGATGGACACATCATATGTAAGTGGGAATAATGTTTTAATGACCTA